TCTAGAATATTTTACTCTCTCTCACTCCGTCTCTCTCTCTCTTTCTATAAATATATATATAATTACAGTAGAAATTAGAAAAAGGAAGGATGAAATTTTATTTTAATAGTGGAAGGTAATATTAGAAAATTTTCAACTGCTTTTTTTCTTTTCTTTTTCTCTTCTTTTTTTTAACAAAATTGATACCAGAACTCTTGATCGATACAGATGGGTGACAAAATAATACGAAAACTTCTATAATAACTCCATATCAACAATATTTCTTTCAGCAGAAAATGTCTTGCAAGATTATACACGTCAAAGCTTGTGACATAATTTAAAAGATCAGACTTAAAGCGTTTAGAAATGGTTTCCTCTTCACAAAATTTGCATCGACCAATATGAATGCAGGAAGTTTAAAAGCCTCTTTCCTTTTTTTTATTACTACTATAATTCTAAACGCATATATCACAATCCTTTAGAATGATTTCAAAATTCCTGGTACTAAAGCTCAAAAGAAATTAACTTCCGATGCTTAGTTTGCTGGTGTTAAAGGTAAAAAGAAATTAACTTGTAATGCTCATTTTGGTGGTATTAAAGCTAAAAAAAATTAACTTTCAAAGCTCATTTTGGTGAATTGGAATTTTGCATAGATAAAAAGGACACCATTTCTAAAAACTTCTTGATCTTCCAAATTATGCCAACTGTTTTGCCATGGAAAATCTTCTAAAATCTTTCCTGCTAGAAAGATTGTTGACATAATGTTAGTATTGAAGTGTTTGTATTATTTTGTCACCCATATGTGTCAACAGTTTAATCTGAAATTAAGCAACGTCAAAATTTCAAGCTGTAGTTTTTTTTAGGTTGTAGCAGATATGAGATTAATCTAAGAATAAATGCTCGACAACTTTTTTTACTAAAGGTACTTTTCACATATACAGTAAATTTTAAATTTTCGCAACTGTTGTCTTAAATGAGTTAAATTGAAGAATAAATTTTGTCATAATTCGTAATTGCATCAGAAGTTGCATTTCATAATTGCTGTCTTTTCAGTTACTGGTTAAGATTCTTTTTAAATGCAGGCCTGCTAACTACTACTCCTTTTGCAAAATATTTTATAGAAGAGTAGATATTTCAAAACCAAAGCTTTCAGAATTTTTGGTAATTTTGCCAACATATTAAAAACCTCATTATGAAAGAGCTGGCACAAAATGCGTTGCATATGAACTTTTAAATCATTTATGTGTAGTGCTGTTGAAATAAGTTTAAATGAATAAAAAATAATACATTGAAACCCAAACTTAGGAACCACTGGAATAAATTTTTACAAAGAGATTAGAAAACTGGCAGTCCTGTAAATGTAGACATATAAATAACAGATTTTACGGTTGAATGTATTTTTTAAAAGAATTCATAGGACTTTTATATATTTATTAAAAAAATTTTTAGGGGTAGTGATGGTCAAAATCACTATCAAACCAATTTGTTAACGATAGCAAATTGTACATTTTCTTTGCCATTTTTAAATATAAATAAAAGCAATTAGATTGGCAGCTATAAAATTCAGGGCTGCCAACTTTCTACAATTTTTGTAAAAATGTATTCTAGTGCAAAAAAGTTTATATTTTTGTGCATTAATTTTTATTAATTTAAACATATTTTCAGCACCAGTACCTATGAATGATAGAAAAATTCATTGACTTTCCAACAGCTCCTACGTGGTAATGCTCTTAAAATGTGTGCAAAATTACTAAAAATTCCGAAAGCTTTAATTTTTAAATGTCTACCATTCTGTAAAATAAAGAAGCGCAGTAGTTGGCAGGCCTGCGAATGTATGCGATTACGATGGAATAAAAATAATTAACATTCGATTATCAGTTCGAGAATTATTAACCGTTAAGGCTGTTAACCGTAAAAATACCATACAGCCGCTCTACAGGCCGCAGGAATATACCTACAGAGATAAAATTTAGCGTGCTGAATGGGTCATGCTTGTTTACGAACGCAGTTTTTTCTCCTCTAAGTTTCAATTTGTTCGAAAGTTGTTGCAATTTTAATATTTCTTTATGCGAATTTGTTCTCACTTGTTTTTTTACGTTCCTTTTTGCTTTGCTGCTTAAAATCTATAAGACTTAGAAACGTGAAATTGTTGAATTAATTTTAGAAATCAGTAAGATGAGCAAGGAGCTCGAAGGAATAAGAACAATTTGGATTTTATTAATTTGAAAATTATTAACTGTTAAACTTGTAATAAGAAAATTATGTCAGTCGTTCTACTGCCGATGAAATGCAGCTATACGGTTGAAATTCGGTGGAAAAACTATTTTAAAATTATAAGTTTAGCGAAAATTATTTTTCTTGGGGTGGGGATTCCCATTTGCTTGAAATGTATTACAATATTGCAACTTTAAATGTTTTTGCAATTCTTTTCCCTTAAAATAACAATTATTTATCCATTGTTGCAGGAAAATTTATCTCTCGAAATTTTCATAGTATAAGCTAGCGCTTTACTTGATGTCAAAAGCAACAAAAAAATGAATAAATAAAAATTAGAGATAGATTTGATGTTGCCATACATAAATTTTAACAAAACTAAAGAGAGATAATAACTGTTTCAAAAGCAAACTGTAATATGGCAGAAGGTCATTGTTATATTATTTTAACAAGTGAAATTATCTCTTATTTATTGCTTCTTATTAACTGTTAAGCCTGTACGTCGCACATTCTCAATTAATATTTTTAAATATTTTTTCCAATTCAGTTGATTATTTTTAAAATTCATTTTTCCTTTCACTTCGCTACGATGAACATGTTAATAAAATGTGCTTTCATAAAATTATAATAATTATATGTATTATAAAAAAAACGATCTTATTTACCGACTTATAGGAAGATCAAGGGGCAGATCAATTAACGTCCTTGGAAGTTTAATTTTAAAAAAAAAGAAAATGTTTTTTCACAGCACGTTCTATCTTCACTGTGTAATAACTCTCGAAGGAAACCGATTTCCCAAGTTATCTCTCTTCGAGAACTTAGTAAATGGTAATCTTCAAAACATAAAAAAATGGACATAAACTGTTCTTCTCTCTCGATGTTCAATGATAATTGAGAAACAACTACTGGGGGTGGTGAACGAAGGGAACAGGGGACGGAGACTCTTAGTTGCGATAAAAAGTTGATAACAAAGGCAGAAAGTAAGACGGAAAAGAAGAAAAACTCTTAGCAAAACCATTTCATTTATAGTTGCAGGTTTGTCACGGGAAATTAAAATGCAAAAAGTGATGACTAATAAAATTTCTTTAAAAAAGATTAAAATTTGCCATTTTTATAGCATATTTTTTTCAGTTCACTAATGAAAGTGAATGCACAAAAAAATTTTTTCTAAATATGAATAATTTAAAATGCAAGTTAAATGTTACCACAGGTAACTAAAAATGCAAAAAGTGGTGATTAATATTTTTTTAAAGATATTAAATTAGCAACATTTTCTAACTTATATTTCAGTTTATGAATGAAAGTGGCTTGAAAATTTTTGTTAACATGAATAAATTGAAATGTAAATCATAACGGTAATTACGATGGAATAATTAAAGATCTTGGAAAAGCATATCACATCTTCATTTGCTTATTCGTAAAAATGAAAATAGTATTCTTCAGAAACATCTGTGTTACAATAAATCATCTGAAATTTCATACTTTTCACATAAAAGCTATTAATAGCTAATAAAAGAAGTAAAATAACCGAAGAAAAATTGTAAACTAAGTAAAATATAACAAAAATAATTTAATTATTCCTAACAATTATAATACAATAAAATTTATTTTACGCAAAATTGAATTTAAAATGCAAATTACATTTTTGCTTTCAATATAAGAATTTTGAAAGAAAACTTTAACCAGTTAACACTTGAATGCAATGAGAAGAATCATTCCATTCGACCTACATTTTATATCTATTTCAATGATGCTAAAAATGTCGTCGTGAAAAAAAGTATTAGTAAATTAATGTTTAAATTCAAAAGAAAGTTATTTTCTTTTACCAAGTAAGTTTTAAAAACAAATACAGTATAAAGCTTACAAATCTAAATTAGACGCTTCATATTACTAACATATCTCAGAGAGTATATAACAGACATAGTTGTTTTTCCTAAATTAAAAACTATCAATGATCTAATTATGAGTTCTATTAGTTTTCATTTTCGTTAAAAAATGACCACCGAACACAAACGAGTTAATTACATTGTTTGTATATTGTAAGCGACTATTATCTTTTGTTAGCTAATACTTTATATTTTGAAAAGAGCAATTTATAAGTATTATACTAAATGTTTTCTGTTTAGAAATACAAATGTAAATAATTAATACGAATAATGAAATCATATTACTGCCATTTATTACCTTTACGAAAAACACAATTTTTTCTTAAATAATGGCACTAATGTGTCAAGCTGAGTGTCCAGGAATCATAATAAATTTTTAAAAATTGTGACAAAAATTTAGCAATCTTTGACTTTTGCGATCACCGTTATTTTTTAAGATGTTTTATGACAATTCTAAACAGTCAGTTAAGTGAAAAAGTGATTAAGGCGGTAATGTTAATGTAGTAATGTTAAAATGAATTCTTAACCACTAATATGAATTTTTATGACCCGTGGGAATAAAAATCAATCAATAATCACTCAAAATCTAAAAATATTATATTATTATTATGCTCATTGCAGCAGTTTTAGAATTTTTCAGAATGATCAAAATCAAAATAATTTCGTTTGTGACTGATAATAGTTAATTTTTTGGAGTAAAAAAAATAACCAATAATGAAATTCTGTATCGAAATATCTGAATTAGTATTGAAGTTGATAATTTGTTGCCTAAATTTAAAAAGAAATTATAAATAAAAAATGGCTGTAAATTATTAAAAAAAAAATGTAGCAAAGATATGTAAATTATCATACTGAAAAATTTTGTCGCTAGTTTTAATCTAAACAAAAAGAAGAAGAAAAAAGAAAAAAAACATCACTTACCATAGTCTTCTCTCCTCATCGGCTTGCCGATAATTAACCAAAAATTTTATCTATTTCCTACAATCATCCTCTTCTAAAAATAAACAAGAATCCAAAAATTCGGGGTGTCACATCTTCATACACTCACAAATCACATAACGTTCCAAAATTTAAGCTTACTTCCGAAAAATCAACACAGTTTTTAATTCCTAACTAAATATTTTTGAAAACCGGCTTCAACACATGAGTGCGGAAGGAAACTCGCGCGATCCTACTTTTTTCAACCGTCCGTCTTTCTCAACAGGTTGGATTGCAAATGATGTTGAAGAGTCAGGAGTTGAGTTGGAATAGCCATTGGCGAATAGTTTGCTTCTCTTGATATTTCGAGGTCGAGGTCGCCTGTTTTTTTAAAATGTGTGTTATTCCTATCTGAAAAGTAGTTTAAGAATCGTCTGCGGGAGAAGGCAATGGGGAAAAAAATCTTTGAAAATGTTTGAAATGTGTAACAGTTTTCTTTTGAAGTTTCTCACCCGCGGGGTTATCTAGTAGACACATGTGTGATGTTCTAAACACGGGGTAAATAACTTTAAACAAAGAATGAATGACGGGGATAACTTTTATGTGTCATGACTTTATTCAAACGTTATCCTTGCGTCAATGTTTTTAATAGAATAAAATCATATTTGAAGTGTGTTATCGTGTTAAAAATTTGATGTTAATATTTATTTGGCTAGTTGAAGCTTTAATAATGTTTACTGAATGACAAAATGAAATCGTGTCACATGTGTTGTGGCAAAAAAAGAAAAATAAATAAATTATTTCAACGATAATGCCTGCGTGTTCATAATTATGATTTAACTTTATTTTCATTTGTACTTTATTTTTTAATAAATTCGCTCGATACTCACACAGCACAGAAATTTTTTGGCCACTTATAACATTGTATACTGTTTAAAATCGAACTAAAGAAACTTCACATGCATAAAATAAAGCATTTTTAACACATGCAATAATTTAAACAAATTTAAATACATTTTGATTTCCCCAAAAGATTGAATCCACACAAAAACTTCATTGGAAAACGTAGAAAAATAGATTTCGGTTGACTTTTTAAGTTTTCCCGGTGATAAGCTATTCAAATTATTGTTGTTTGCATGATAACCGATCACTATGTGTTGAAAGAATAACAAAATGCACACTTTATACAATGGAATATATTTATTTTTAAAAAAATATAAGACAATTTGTTTATTTTTAGTTTTTCTAAATATAATTTATCAAAAGGAACCCCGGGGTGGGCTCCTTGAGTGCCTGGGCCCTCGGGCACTGCCCGGGTATGCCCATGCGTAAAGCCGGTACTGCTCCGTACTTCGTTGCAGTGCCCATGAGTTGGAAGCGCTGCATTTGAAGGTAAAAAGGAATATTACTAACGATAATAATGAAAATTTTTAAAATAAGCACTGATAACTTAATTATTTCCATTTTAAAATTTATCTACGAAAAACAAGACGTATAATTCATTTACAAGATTATTTTTTATTATAATCTAATTATATAATAAAAAAAATTAAGATGCCGCAATACTTATCCAAATTTAGAAAATATAAAATTAGTAAATATCATGTCTAACCACTTTTTCAGAAAGATATTTTTTACATCAATACAGAATATAGCCTTTTTACCACAGTACTTTGGTGTAGGTTAGCGATTGGTAAGCCTTTTAGGGCAAAATTAGGAAATTTTGGGTGGCCAGTAGTAGCATTTTTTAAAGGTGTCAACGTTTTCCGAAATTGAAAATTCTAAATTAATTTTAAAAAACATATTGATATTTTAAATATTTATCATTTCTTTGTAAGCATATCTTTTTATAAGGTAAACGATTCAATATTCACTTTTAAAGTGAAGGTAAATTTTTCTGATCTCTCAAAGCAGATTTATGTAAAATTGAAGTATTATACGTATGAAACGTTTTCAACTAATAAAACTCGGGATTTTCGCTTTTAAATCAATAATAAAACATTAAATTAATCTTTATTAATAAACCTAAAATTAATCAGATCAAATTAAATTTCTTATTTAAAATAAATCTAAAATGATTTTAATCACAATGGTCAAATTTTATTAATTTTGTTAATTTTAATTACAATTAGCAATATTTTTTTTAAGTAAAATGAAATTAAGTTTAATTTGAATAAAAACTGGGAGCAACAAACTCACTACTACACTAAAGGGTTTCATTTTAAATTAAAGGTAAATTTTCTTACCTCACAAAATAGGTTTATGTAAAATTGAAGTATTATATAAAACTCTTTCAACTGATAAAACTAAAATTTTAATTTTTTAAATCAATAATAAAGCATTAAATTTATCTTTATTAACAAATATAAAATGTATCAGATTTATCAGATCAGATCAAATTTATTATTTAAAATAAATCTAAAATGATTTTAATCATTATGTGGGAACTTCTTAATTCAGTGACTTTTAAATTCTGTTACTAANAAATTCGGATCATTGTTAATTTGAATAAAAACAGTGAGCAACAAACTCACTACTACACTAAAGGGTTTCATTTTAAGTTAAAGCTAAATTTTTCTTATCTCACAAAATAGGTTTATGTAAAATTGAAGTATTATATAAAACTCGTTCAACTGATAAAACTAAAATTTTAATTTTTTAAATCAATAATAAAGAATTAAATTTATCTTTATTAACAAATATAAAAAGTATCAGATTTATCAGATCAGATCAAATTTATTATTTAAAATAAATCTAAAATGATTTTAATCATAATGTGGGAACTTTTTAATTCAGTGACTTTTAAATTCTGTTACTAAATACTATCCCAGCGATGGCTGGTCGATACGAATTCCGCACCCGGCTCGCACTGACCCCAGTGCTTAAGTAAACCACCCTCACTGCTAGACGGATCATAAGTTAGAGTCCTCTTGCCACCAGGCTAACCATGAGAGGCTTTCGTGGTTTTCCTCTCCAAGTAACGCAAATGCTGTTTTATTCCATCAAAAAGTTCTCTGCGAAAGCAAATTACTCTCACTACTTAATCCAGGATTCCCCTTGTCTTCTGTATTGGGTTCAAAATTACAAGGCTACGGCATCTAACATTGGTAGCTATAAGCTAAAAAATGTGGTTCGTTAAATGGCAAGGAAGTAAAAAAAAGTATAAGTACAGACAGAGTTTTCCGATACAAATTATTTTTATTAAATTTTATATCAAAATAATTGTTGATTTTGTTATCACAAAATAATACAGCTCATATAATCAGCAAAAAATGTTTCGTGAAAAAGTGTTTTCAAAATTATTTAGCCAGGTAGAAAGCGTTTTGTAGAAGTCTTATAATAACTATGATAAAATTGTTCGCTTATCTCTGCAATGCGTTTATAAGTAATCTAAAAATATTTTTGTCATTTAGATTTATAGTTTCAGAGTAGTTGTTGAAAAGAATTAAATAATGTAAACATCTTAGAATCGGCAAGGAATGCATTTTTTATATTTTGAAAACAAAAATATGCAATACGAAACATTACTCTCAATTTTTTAGCACTTTAGGCAAATAAATATTAGATTTTACTTAAAACAATTCATTTTAAATGGGCGTTTCTTTCAATTTTTCTTGCACTGAAGCAAAACGTAATGAAATTAAATCAGGAAAATATGAGAGATTTGTCCCGTTTGATTACGAAACTGTTTTTCTAATATTTTTTTTTATATATACTAATGATCAAAGTTCACATTTTTTTATAGTTTATAATTAATGTTTTACAAATCGTAAAAATTTATGAAACACTATATAATTTGCTACTGTTCACATAATTGCCGACTATCAGCATAATTTTAATTTTTCAGCAAAATGTCTTGATTTAGCATAAAAATTAGTCTCAATGCTACTTTTTGTTCTCATGCAATTCACCTTTTTCATTTCTAAGAATCCTTTTAGCAACTTATCCTTTACTATCCTAGGTTACTTAGTTATCTTACTGTGGTATTTCAAAAATTGTAATTAAAACATGAAAGCCAATAAAAAGTGTGCTTTTTTTTCCAAATTAAGTTCTTTTCTGTTTTAGTTGTTTTCGAGGTCATCCGCAACCTCGCCGCATAATTTTTTAATATTTCCGAATCCTCGTTGCCTAAATTTTATAATATTTCCGCATAATTTATAGCTTCATACTCATGTGGGTTTTCTTCCGTTCACATAATTATTTTTTACTTTAAGTATAAACTACTTAAGTATGAGTAAAGAGGTTTGACTCAGTTTGTATATACTCTTATATAGGGTAGTTCATACTCAAAGTAAAAAATAATTATGTGAACGGAAGAAAAACCTCATGAGTATGAAGCTATAAATTATGCGGAAATATAATAAAATTTAGGCAACGAGGATTCGGAAATGTTTTAAAATCATGCCGTTAGGTTATGGATTGTTTCTTGGTCTTTTTAATATTTTTAAAGATTTCGTTCTCTTTTTTTAATGATCTGCTTCTTCTCCATTTCCTCTTTGATGCGAGTATCGGTCAAAATCCTTTATTCGATACGATAACAGTTTTTTAAATGTTTATCTCTTTTGAATAGATTTTTACTTTTTACATTTTTACGCTTTATCCTAACTGTTATGGTATACTACTTTAATATTACGAAAACATGACTACCAGCTAGTACGATTTTTGTTGAGATTTTTCAATGCCATAGATAAAAAAGCAGAGTAAAAGTATTAAACATAGATAAAAATACATATTAAAGATATATATATAAGCATTTTTTTTAATTTTGACAGGCTTTTACATATATAAGGCATAATTTTCAGGGTTCTTATAGACATTTTTTGAATTCTTTACGCAGTGGTGATAAAAATTCTTTTAAATCAGATTTCTCAAACTCAGAGAAGCCAAGTTGCTCCGAAGAGCGTATAAATATTATCTACTGGTAGCGTTTTAATGTATGATTTTCAGTTCAATAATTACCATTTATATGCATATTACTCACTTCTACTTCTAAATAATTCAAAGGCTTATGTGTAATGCTGCTTTGTTACAAAATTGTCGTGTTGAGCCTTTTAAAATTTGGCAAATGTAACCGAATTCCGCACATTTTAGTTTATAGTTATCTGTCATTTTTTAAAATAGTCTTAGAATACGGAGCAGTTGGCCTTTTCTGGTAACCTAGCTGCCAATTCTTCCAAACCATTTTATTTTAACGTATTTGTTAAACCTTTGCTTTTCAATTTAATTCTTCTATTTATTAGTTTTAATAAGAATGAAATTAACTGCCACTGCAAAGCATTTATATAAATGACCGATTATCATACCTTGGCGTCAGTAAACTCTGGCAAAATATAAAAAGCAAGTTTGTCTACAATTGATTTTTCATTTTACTATCGGTTCTGAAAGTATATTTTTTTAAGAGTAATATATTAAAGCATAAAATTGGCTTTCTCCAAACAATATCAGACGCGAAAATCTTAAAAGTTGGCGAATATTATAAAAAGCTATACGTTAGATTTGGCAATTGCGACACTTAAAAAAATTGGACTACTGTTGGA